AAATGTTCCATTATTTTATTCCCAAGGCAAAGTGTGTATTTACTGTACTTGCTATAACAGACAAATAGGTATGTTATTCTTAAAGACAGTTTTATCCGCATTTTTATAAATAATATTCAGGTATTTAATTAACGTGTATATTTTTCGATTTAAAGCTTTCGTGACTGCAATGATTCATCTTCTTTGGTTCTTTCGGTAAAGTCACGTAGAATGAGAATAAAATAATAATAATAATAAATTATTATTGTGTTATTTTATTTTATCAATTTATTATTTTATTCTCATTCTACGTGACTTTACCGAAAGAACCAAAGAAAACGTGTATATTATTTAGTAAATAGGCCTACTAATTTTCTTCAAAATAACTGGTCTTTGTTCTTTGGTGATGTCAACGGTTATAACATTCAGTCCAAGAGCTAAAACCACCCCCATAGTCACACTGTGAAGGGGCAGTGTTTACTTCTTCAACTATCACGTGGAACTTCCTCCACTTCAACTAAAAAGGGGTTGACTCCTGGAATACCCTCTCAACAAAATCACTCCACTAATTTTGAATGTCAATCTCTATCATGCGCCATCGTTCCATCTTTGACCTATCATTATAAACAATATCATTATAAACAGTTAACATAATTGGATTTTGAAATCATGAAAATTATTATATTTAAAATGTTCACTTTGAGAAATACAATGTTCCGTTATGAGTTAATGCTAAAGAGAATACAAGTATGAGCTAAAATACAAGCTCTCAAAGCCAAACTTGAATAACTAGAATTCAGCGTAAGCTGGACGGCTATTTGAAATAAGTATGTAGAGATTTTGCTTTTTTATGGAATTCATTAAAACCATGGACACTGCCGCCATCCAAATGCTTGGCTTGCTCAATCCCTTTTGTTTTAAATTTAACTTTATAGTAATTTTACAAATATAAAAAAATAGGATACTCAAGCATGTCAGAACAATCTATTCAGCATTTTTCACCCAGTAAGCCTCAGCCTCCACCTCTGCGTCATAGTGATGTTGAGTGACTCAGATTAAACTGTAGGTACATACTCTTCGGTTCTTTCGGTAAAATCACGGAGGTAGAAAAATAATAGATCACGACGTTTCGATTGCAACACAAGCAATCGTCATCAGGTGGGACAACCACGGCAAGAAAAAACTGCTGATGTTTATGTTGCCATGGCGTATTAAAAAACATGTTGTCATGGTGTCATAAGCACGATGGAACTGTAATCTTTAGGTCACCGTTTGATCTCCCGATGCGGAATTTTAAACAATGCACAAGTTTCTCAAGATCCCGTTGCCTCTGTCCACCCAGCAGTATATACGCGTACCACCACAGTTGGTCGATTAGCAGGTGGCATGTGGTAGGGTAGGCTGTGGATACTCCCACCTCTTCCGAGACATCTTACCAGCGTGAACGTCGGTCAAATACTCCCTAGAAGGGGGCTCTCGTGAGCTCCCTCTAGTGGAGGTCCTTCCACCAGCAGTGACGTGAGCAAGACTGCACATATACCACCGAATTAGATGTGAAGCGTATCTTGATCAGAAGGACGTTGTACTGAGATCTATAGAATGCAGCATAACACACGCCTCGTTTTTGACGACCATGGTAATCCGTGCCGAGACTGTGCTCACAACAGGTGGGGCCAGAGAGCTACCGTTCCCGCAGCAGTCTGCCTCGGCCCCTCCTGATGCCAGAGAGTTTCAGAACAAAGCCTCCGAGCTCCCTTCCCAAACTAAACTACGCGCTTAGGCCCAGGCTGACCCTGTATACTAGCACTGATGGCACAGGATCAATATGCTAACCAGGTCAGTGATATCACTGTCTTGGAATAACTTCCCATGATCAAGGGATTTTCCTGATTGGAAAGCCCAATTACGCCCTTTTCCATGTCTCACAGATAAATATTACAAAGCTAAATTTCACTTTTTCAAACAGTAACACGTTTGGATATTTTTCTAATAACCCACCTTTTTCGAAAATACGTTCTCAGTCATCTATTAATTTATTTTCAAGTGTGACTCATTGTCTAGGCCACAAACAACATCACCCCAGAGTGGCATAGTCTCATCCAATTTCAGATCATAATTGGTCACTCATACTCTTTGGAAGGACGTTATTAACCAGGTAAAGTCTTAACTGACTGTGATGTTTCCATCCTACCTGCCTATGTCAGCTGTTATTTCCGACTCTCTGTCTCTCTCTCTATGCCTCTCTCTTAGATCTCTAATGCTCACATGTCCTTTGCATTGCACTCTCATGCCTCTGGATTGCATTATCATGCTCACATGTCCTTTGGATTGCACCCGTTGGGTTGCACTCCCTCGTCGAGGAGGCCGCTCTTCTCCTATCTTACAGTCACATGCTAATTTCTCACATTAACATCACTAGCCCCGGCCACTTCTTTATGTCCCTTGGGCTACACCCATTTAACACCTTTTCAAACAGTCTGCCTCAGCAGCAGACCATGCTTTCCCACCTGATGACGGACGCTTGTGTTGCGCCTGAAACGTTTTGATTTATTTAAATGTATTTTATACCTATGTGACTTTACCGAAATAACCAAAGAGTATGGATTCCTGCAGTCACGAAAGCTTCAAATCAAAATTGGTCACTCATTTGATAAGCCTCATTTTGCAGGATCAACCCCACCAAACAAAGACTCCCACAGTTTAAGTGCCTATATGGAAAACACCACACGAATGCATACTGCCTCAAATTGTTCCTCTCCAACTAACCCGAGCTGCTCTTAGTGTTTCCGAGGCACCTTACAAGCATAAGCACGTGTATTTTCTTCGTGTCTGGATGCAGAAAATCTATATGGCCGCATGATTCATCACTTTAACCGAGCGTGCGCAACCTCGGCTTCCCCATCAGCAGAAATCTGTCTTCTTAACCTCACATGTGGCCATTCCTTTTCCAAATATCAGCATACATTCTCGCAGATTTATGATGCCACCGTGAGGTTGTCAAACCTGAAGGAATGGATCGATGGTTGGACGCGGACCTTGCACACGTGGCTTTGCAAGATGTACAATGCAACTGATCTGGAACACACTGGGCTCTATAATGGGACAGGAGGTTAATATGTTCATGCAGGCGTGGGATCCCCCTTTTAATAATTATGCTACATGGGGTTAGATGGTAATGTCAAGCTATTTACTATAGTAAATTAGGATACTACTAATGCTTTTTTTTATTTTACCAGGTAAGGCCCACTGAGCTATACAGCTCTTTTTCAGAAGCGACCTGGCCCCAAATGATAGCTCGACAAAGTGGCTTATCGCGTGGGAAATTGATAGGAGCCAAATACTTCTAAACGTGTGTTGGTTCTAAATGTCAATGTCTGCTCATTACGCTCGGGAGTCAGACAGTATGTCCATGGTTGTGGGGGGTTCACAGTGTTGTTGCATTAGACCTGATGTTCTTATTCATATTGTATCCCGACGTGTCTCTATTTAAATCACTGACGTGTCATGTCGACTTGCCTCTTTTTGGTTCTCCCCCCTCCCTCCACTCTTCCCTTTTATTAAAAAACCACGGACGTGGCAAAAAATGTTTGATAAAAAAAAATGTGATGCCACGTTGAAAGTAAAATTTTGCAAAATACAATAGTCTCGCCCAAATCCACACAACACTCACCGGTTAAAACCTACACATTTGTAAGACCATTTAGTTTGCCTCAATGTAATGTTATGCAATTTGCGTATAATTTTGTAACTTGTAAGGAAATGTGTAGATGATCCAATTTGAATGAAATTTGAGTATAACGTTGTGCTGCTATTTGGGTCCCACGGTGGTGAGATGTTAACTACGTCGCCTGGTATACAGGAGGTCGTGGGTTCGATCCAACCCTGATGCCTGTGTATGTGAAGTTTGCATCTTCTCCCCGTGATCGCGTATATTTTTCCGGTTCCTCCGGTTTTTCCCTCCACATTGAGAATCAACATGCGTTTAGAGTATTTGGCTGCTATACATCTCCACATGATAAGCGACTTCGTTGAGCTATCATTTGTGGTCAGGTGGCTTCTGAAAAAGAGCTAGATAGCTCAGTGGGCCTTACCTGGTTTAAAATATACATATATAGTAACAAAAAGTACCACATAGAAAACGGTTCCGATTGAACAAAGGGTTGCCCGTGCCCTTTATGGTAAAGGTGCATTTTGAGCCCCATGTCTCATAGTGGCCTCTGGAAGTACTGCTTCCGGCACGCCTGGCATGAGAGTGGCCGCTATTATTGCTCATTAAACACCTCTGAGGACAACACACACGTTGGGAAACGTTACATAATCCACGAGGACGAAATATTGTTCTTCTTCCTTCATATTTTACTTGGTTGCATGCGTAAGAAAATGATGCTGGAGGAAATCTACCATTAAATGAATGCTTACACGTATTGTGCACTGCCTAACGTGATTATGTAAATGTGCGTGCTTTGCTCACATGTATCATCTTAAAATAAGAATAGCATGTTCGTGAGCTATTTTGATTATGCCACTGAAGCCTTTTCGAACATCTCACCAAGGTTTGCACAAGCTATGTGTTGTTTTTAAACTTTGAGGAATGAAGCTTTGGGCAATGGTCCTTCAAAGCAAAACTAACCTTAATCTAATGGCCAGAGCTTGATATCCTATTATATATCTTTCTGTTACGACCCAGTGCAAATTACCTAGCTGGGGTATTGTTAAGTCTGTGCTGGTTTCCTAATGCCAATTTAATGCCAAAGCAATTCCTTAAGTTTGACACTAATCACATATTCTAGGGACAATACATTGTATAATGGCTTCTCATCTGTTGGTAAGTCAATTGGCATACTCTTCCTTCAAAATAAATTAGCAGACAATATGTCTCTTTTACATATCTGTTTCTCAACGTAAAATATGTAAATGTATTTCTTACAACCCATGAAGACAAGCGTAGGAAGATGCAGCCGTCCGATGATTCGTAATTTACACATGCAGAGGTTTCCCATACAGGGTGCGAAGTGCCTCACCTGCGAATTCCAGTTGTATCGTGCGGCTGACCAGAGTACCTTCTTGTCTGTGAGCGACGCACACATATTCTCCCTTGTCTGAGTTTTCGCCACCATGTTCAGATTCCTGGGCTTGGGACAGGAATATAGATCCGTTGGGTAACAGTGTCCAGCGTGACGAAACATTGAGGGTCTCCGAGAGGAGCAGGGGCATGCCGTTTTTGCGCCATGTCACGTTTAGGGGCTGTTCTCCACCATTGCTGATGTTAACTGGGCCTCTCCTGCCACCCACAATGCCCCCGCGGTGACCAAACACACCGCTGCCGCCCAAGAAGCCTTGCCCAGGATGACCAGAACCAAGTCCTGAGCCCAATCTCGATCGGATGGCTGGGCAATCGAGCAGCACCGGCCGCCCTGGCACCACGAACACGTCCGTGGGTCCAGGGCCGCAGTGGAGGTCGTGCGCTGCCACCGGCACCGCCACCGTCACCACAGACTCTGGAACAAACAACGCAAGGCCAGTGCATCGCGGTTAATGTCCACGTCGCGCTTAACAAGATATCAATGTACTGTGCGTGCAATTTGTGTAACTACATGTGGAAAATTATCTCAAAGCGTTAAGCCGTATTTATGTACACAACACACATGTATATAATAAAGCATCAACCGAACCACAAGAACATTTGTCAACATAAAACATCATCACAATTAAACATTTCTATTACAGCATTTGGTCAATACACTGCTGGATAAATGCCTCCCCATGCCTCGTCGCTCGTGGGGTTTGTTGGACTATACTTCCCCCCCGCTGATTAGTGACGGGTTGGTGAAGCAGATGCCCCAGGTCCTGTTTCATATCACTTGCCAATTATTTCCCGGTGGCTGGCAATCCACATGTGGCCTGGTTTATAATGCCTGCAAACACTGCTCCACCTCATCGTAAGTAATACACAGGATGAAATTGGTTCAAATACTTCAATGGTGACCATACGGACGGGATATTCTGCCACTGGCTCAAGGCCGCAAATTGAGACGAGCACCACCCCAATACTGTGCTGACTTGATCACGGACAGACTGTTACTTGATTTGACAGAAACTTGATAACGTCTAGCAATGAGAAATGGACAATGCTTGACCAATGCGACCCTACGAACCATCCACACTGCGTGACCACTCCACCAAAGTCAATATTTTGCACGTAATCAAACAACACGATCGTCTGCTAAATTAACACTCTTTTCATTGTTTTACGGTGGCTTATCTCAACTCGCAAAGGTTTAATTCAGGTCCTGTGGGCAATTCTGTTTCTGCCATTGTACTTTATATTTGCCCTGCAACTCGGTTGAAATATGAACAAACTTATCTAAACTCTGTGACAATAGTCTTCAAAGCATGGCATGGGTACTTCTGTAGTTTTAATGAAGCCTTTCAGCATCTTACTCTTAGCATATTTGATGTTTTATGTTGAAATATATAAATAGTCTATTGGTATTGTGAAGCCAGCCTAGTTCCCATGTCCCATGCTGGATCATTCTACAAGTATATTATCATCTATCATTATTATCATTCTATATCCGATGCTGGACTAGCATATGTCCCTCATCGTACTATTTGCCTCGGGAGCCGAGTATTTCAGAAAGAGTACATGACACGTGGCTATTACACTGTAGACTCCTTGCACTCTGTTGGTTGCAAAGATGGTCGCAAAGCTCTTCTTTAGCTTCACACACTAGACATGAGATTCATACATTCAAATTCATTTCTCATGGGCTCACATGACACAGAGAAACATTTATCATGCTGGAACTGGGATTTTGCTACAAAAAGAATTGAGAATGTTCACATATGGCAATACGACCCCTGGCAATCTTATGTTTTACTGACCCAACAAATCATGTCATTATATTATTGGTTCTTTCGGTAAAGTCACGTAGAAGGGAAACAATAAAATAATAAAAATATAAAACAATAAAATTCTCACGACGTTTCGACTGCAGCACAAGCAATCATCATCAGGTGTGAAACCCACAGCAAGAAAATTTGAAAAAAGTGGCTTTTTTCTCTTAATGTTAGCACCACGGACAGCGATTTCGCTGCGATTTCGCTGTCCGTGGTACTAACGTTAAGAAAAAACGCCATTTTTTCCAATTTTCTTGCTGTGGTTTTCACACCTGATGATGATTGCTTGTGTTGCAGTCAAAACGTCGTGTGCATTTTATTGTTTTATCTTTTTATTATTTTATTGTTCCCTTCTACGTGACTTTGCCTAAAGAACCAAGAATATGAATCCCTGCAGTCACGAAAGCTTTAAATCAAAATTAATGTCATTATAGTTAAGCTCAAACATGGACACTGAGAAGGAATCGTGAAGAGATGAACACTCAAAATTACACTGGGACAAGAAGGGAACCATATAAACCTGATAAAAAAATCCAAATCCGAGACATCACTGAAATTTGGTGTTAAGAACAGCGGGCCTGGGCATGACATATTGTTATAATGGATGATGGCCAGCGGAGAACACTGATTATAGCCTGGCAACCCAAGGAAAATCTGCACCTGAGAGTGCGACCCACCAAGGAAATGAAGGGATTATATAATTTTACGTGCAGAAGTGCAATGGGTTATTGTACATTGGAGGAGCAAGAGGGATGGTGGCCACATGGGGAGGCCTGAACCCAGCAGTGGATAGACCATGGCTGATGATACAGTGAGAGTGATTTATTCTTATTATTCACGCTTGCTAACTAGCATTCTTGCCTTATCTACTTTCAAAAAGAATCACACATTTCACTGCCCCAACCTTGTTCAGACCTTCCTGTTCTCGTAAATCCAGATAATTGTACTTCGTTTTAGTGCTATACCTTAATGTGTGTTAGTGACTGCGTATTCAATCATATTAATTTGAGTTTTATCACGTGGGTGTTTTAGAACTGTCTGTCAACATGATAAATTTTGCAGAATTTCAGCTTCAACCTAATTTCCTTCATGGCTTTATACAAAAAATGTGTAATGTAAATGTTCAAAGTTTATTGACCCTATTATTCAACCCTAAATTATTCATTATCGCTTCACCACTAAAAAAAACTAACCACGAGAAAACTAATCAGAGATAAAGATTAAGTTCCTGGAAAACAACACTTTTAGTGGCCGCTTTAATTTGATCTTCATTACTGACTGCCAAAAGGGCTCACAAATGTGTAATGCAATCAAAGCCCCGTCTGGCTGACTGTGCGCTGTGTCTGGCGCTACTGCTCATGTGTACAAGAATCAATAAAAACAAGGCTGGTGGCAGGCAGTGGCAGGCAATTTTTCAAATTTGTACGACACGTAATGTATAAACTGTTATTATATATATGGTTTAATGTGACCGAACAAGCTATATATATTTATGTGATATCACGTTTCTGGGAACAATGATCTCTGAAGTTACAAAAATGAATTCTGGGAAACAGTATATGAGGTTTAAAACATGAAAATGGCAAAACAACCACTATCACGACCTCTTTGTTTTCTTTGTGAAGATACCAGGAATGAGTTTATGATTTTAAAATGTCGAATTTTGGATTTCCACAATTTCATGGGCAATTAAAAACAACATTCACATTATTAACGTAATGCAATTACTTTAAGTGCCTTCGTGCTAACAAAAGCTACTTAACTCAATGCCATGATACACCCCATGAGAGTTGGCACAATACGTGACATAATTTCTTGTGACATCATACGTTGTGATGAATCTGAAGTAAACCCATTTTCTGAGTCACCCCTACATTCCGTACCTCGTCCTGAGTTTTTTTTTATTTGTGGACTACGCCAAAAACTGAGAACACATTTAGCCGATACGAAACATGCTGTATCCACACGGCTGCCAGGATCAGGGGGGGGGGGCGCTGTCATGACAATTGGGGGGCAGGGGGGTGCAAAGATTCACTCACTTGCGATTCAATGATTTGTTCCAATTCATGGTCGTGGTTAAAAAGACATATTATGCTGGTTTAATTTTAGTCACTTTCTAGTGGCTGGAGGGGTTTATGTCAACACATTAAATATGACACACAGAAGAAAAAACACATTTACTCTTACATAATAGATTTGGGACATATATCATGAGATTAATAATCGATTGTGATCCGTAAATGTATGATTACACGGCAATAACAATTGTATGAGCTCTCCCATTCCTTTGGGGCATGACGTACCTTTTCATTGGCCCATAGGTGTTCAAGAGGCCTGCTAGGTAATCCTACGGGACCCAAAACGTTGTAGGGAGGCAAGAGGATGTGCATACATAGTGTGGATGATGTGTGAGTAGAATGTGACCATAGCAATGTGAAAAACAACGTTTGTAAATACAACATTCGCGTGTTTCACTTGAGTTTCACCACCGGGGTGGATTGATGTGGGTAAGTCCGTATGCAGCATTATATTTTGTTTGCAAGGCCAGAATTGTTAGCTTCGCAAGTCTACAAAGAAAGGTTTCCTTTTCAGACTGAATCTATTTCAGTGAGTTACAGCGCTGTGTAAATGCACCGCTGGGTGGAGAGGTTCCTGACCCATTTCAGCAATTAGGGGTTGTTTAACCATACTTCACCATGCTGGACAATGTGGGTTGGTGAAAGGTTCGGGGAGAGGGGGGCAGGATTAGATTAGATATTACTCGCAACTGATGGTAGTCATGGCTGGGATCAAAACTCAGGATCAAACTCAGCATAGTGCAACTGTCTACCCACTGTGCTGCTGCAGCTCCGCCCCGAATAAACTGAGTGCTATTATTATATTTCTAAGCTACAACACTGGCGATGTACGCAAGTTCCGTAGCTGCACCAGCAACCTGCTGCATTGCATTTGATACGGATATATGGTTACAATGGTTTATTGACACACCGGGTAAAAAACGACGCGTTGATTAAATATCGATTATTTGTATCATCGCTACGATTCATCAAATCGTGTAAGAATCCATGTTCACTTGTATTCATACACGCTGTGTGCAAAAGGGCGCATATCATCCGATATCTCGTGGAGGCACATACATTTATGCGCAATATATATGTATATTTTTTTTCTTGAATCAAATCACGGCCCTGAATCGCAACTATTCATCAAATTACCGGGGAGATTAATTGTTCCATCCCGAATACATGTCGCGAACAGCGACAACGACAAAAACAAGTTGTCAAAAAGTACTCTTCATTTTGACGTCTGCTTAATGTATTTTTTGTACTATTACTCCCGCGTGTTTGTGTGCAAAACATCAAGTACAGCTGTTTAATCGTGTGGCAGAACTCCTATTACAGTATTGGTGATTCCCTTCGTGTGAATTCACTAACCCACGGGGTTCAACCAATACATAATATATCACGCTACCTGCAGATTGCTTTTTCCAGTTTTACAGATTTGTAGATAAGAGGCGTGTAAAATGGATTACAGGCACATTTTCCTGTTGGCCCTGTTTTAATAGTTGTGAGGAATGGCTAGCTAAATTAATCTTGCT